ATGGTCGAACTTTTAGCGGCGCTGGTGATGTAGTGGCAAGCGTGATTGCCTCTCACCCCAAAAGGCCTGGGTTCAATCCCAGTCAGCGCTGGCGGGATTTTTTTTAGGCATAAAATCTCTGATCACGCCTTCCTTGGTAAGGGAAGTAAAGTCATTGGTCCCCGCCCATAAGTTGATGGGTTAGGGTTCAGATGTGGGAGCTCTTGGTAGCATTGTTACTCAGCACGGAAAACAAGATCGATGGAAAACAAATCAAGGAAAAAAAAGGTTGAACTTTTGCCCAAACCTTACTCTAAGGTTCTATGGGAGTTTGTTACGAACAAAACAGAACCGGTTACACTCAAATTGGTCTAGCCATCTCTGCGAAAAGTCAGGTTGGACTCGATTCATACATTTGAATTCCCGTTTTTCACGGTTTCCCTACGTGCTTTTCCTGGCTTAAATATAAAATGCAATACCTGCATGGATGATTAAATGTCGCTAGTATAAAAAAGGTTTCAGCACTTTAGTTTATATGCAGAAAACCTTAAACTGCCTGCGTAGTTTATGCCCCTACATATTAATCAATCAATTCAAGTGGATTCTGAGGAGAGTTCAAAGAGACTACCGATAATAATTCCAGGAGAATCGACTTCTGTCAACATAGTTAATGAACAGCTCCTGAGAATAGCTCGCAAACAAATATTTGAATAACTTCAAGCTATTGCTGTAGGTACTCAGCAAATAATTTTAACTGCAGAGCAGCTTATACAGGCAAACATTGGTTTATGCAGCTAAATCCATGTTTATTCACCTTTTAACCAGATAAATTGTTTGTTGGCAGTTACAAAGGAGGATTCCAAAGAAACTCTTAAAAGAATTCACAAGAAATTCTGAGGATATTTCTAAAGGAATTGTCACTAACACTAACACTGAAAGAATTTGAATATAACTGCAATGCAATCTTAAGGGAATCCAAGGAAACGAAATTTCAAGGAAATTTCTGAGAACTCCAACGAAATTCTGATGTGAATTATAAGAAACATTTTAAAGGATACTCTGAGAATGCTGAGGTAATCTCCAAGGGAATTTTCATTACAATTTTGAGGAATATATCAAGAGAATTTTACAGTTGATTACGAAGAGAAATTTAAACGAATTGTTGAGACTACGAAGATAATTATAGAGCGAGCATAAAAAGTATCATGCAGGAAATTCCTTAAGTGTTATATAGAGTTTTGAAATATTTATGGAGAAAATGTCAAGCAAATACCAGAGATAAATTATAAGATTATTTTGAGGAATCCTAAATATATCTCTGAAGACACCTTCTTCTTTTGTAAATTTAGAAATCATCACTTTTATTTATTTTCCAAGATACCAGTTACAGAAATTCAGGATACAGGATTTAGAATAAAAAATCAAGATTCTGAGACCTGATGGAATGCTGAACTTTTGAGGTTTTGACATCCCGAAGATAACTAAGATTAATTTTTTTTAAAGATTCTTACATGAATTACTATAAAAAAAATCAAGGTCTTGAACTTAGACAGATTTAACTGCTATGGTATATGGTTGAAAATGGAACGTTTAAAGATGCAATTGGTCTAATATGTCTAAACTAAGAAAAAGTACCGATAGATTTGCTTACACTGTGCAAGGCAAATGAAGCACACAGCAAAAAATATACTTTAATATTACATCCAAGAGGATGTACTTCAATCATATCAAAAATCTCATATAATTTTTATGGCCCCAAAAATAAACAAATGCAGTAAAAGCAGCGTAATGTCAGTTCCAGGGCTGTTACAAGATTTTCTAAATTTGATCCGCGAAATCCGCGAGTTCTCAAAAGAAATCCGCGACTTCAAATACTAATCCGCGACAAAAAAAAACTGTTTTCATTGCCTAAAAATAGCATTTTATACTACTACATGGCATTTTAAGCTTATTGCTCATAGCATATTAGATTTTTACCTGCTCTCAACTCAATGTTCTTTGAAGTACTTTCACATTTTAATTGAGAGATTTCTATGCCTGTACCATCCTATGCCCAAGGAAGTAGAGAAATTTTCCAACCCGAAAAATTAATAGACCGGACGGGAATCGAACTCAGTCGCCTCCAGCATGGACTTGCTTTGTAGCTGTGCCTTTACCGACTGAATCGTTTGTAACCTTTGAATATTTTTAATAACATTGTATCATCTTCAGTTATAGTATAAATTCTGAGTAATTAGTGAACACGGAGGCGAACCAGCCTCAGGCTAAAAGCCTCCATAATAAAGAAAACTTAACTTAACTTAATCAGTGAACATAATAAAACACCCTTACATTATGAAATTCTATTAAATAATACCGGCCTAGATTTGATGAAACATTATTTAAAAAATAATAATGCATTTTCATTTGAAATGCAAATTTTCTTGAAAATGAACCTTTGAGTCTCTGACGTATTTTGCTGTCCTAAATGTTGTAGGTAGTTAATTTGTCTCTAGTTTTCTCAATTTTTACCGATTCAAACCAAACACCCTGCACATAATCGAATGATTACCAGAGTTTCGCTTGTTGGTCACGTCGCGATTGTGTATTTACACGGATATTCTTGGGGTCTGTCCAATGGTGAGACATTTTCATGATATTTTTTTTATTTCTAATATGAACCTAACACTTTTCGTTGTCAAATCATAACCGAATCGAATATATGTGACTTTGTGGATCATGCACGACTTATTACTATGTATACCGGAAATTATAGGGTTTCCAAATCCTCCAGAACATCAGTTGATTTGTTCTACTAGATCAAACAAGACTGCAATAATGTCTGTAGTATCGATATCCAATCAGATTCAATGTGTCTATGTGGATCATGCATGATCTGTTTCCGAGTAATCCAGATGTTCAAGGTTCTTCAAATCGTCCAACCGATCAACCGATTTTGGGAATTGGGACAATGTCTTTAGTATCGAAATATTTCCATACAGATGCACTGTGTCTATGTGGATCATGCATGAAATATTGTAATGTATACCAGATGTTTTAAGTTCTCCAAATCGTTCTGGGCCTCATAGCCTAGTCAGTAAAGGCACGGTATTACCAAGCCGGAGGCGGCAGGTTCGATTCCCGGTCCGGTCGAGGGAATCTTTTCTTGACTTCCCTGGGCGTAGAGTATCATTGTGCTTGCCACACAATATACGAATTCATGCATTGGTATTGGCATCGAAAGCTCTCAATTAATAACTGTGGAAGTACATTTAGTAGAACACTAAGTTGAGAGCACGCAATAAGCTAATATGCAATAATCAATCAGCTTGAAATGTGAATAAGAAAAGGAAGAACAAGAAGAAATCGTTCTGGAGTTCAGATGATTTATTCTACTAGATCAACCATGACTGGGATAAAGTCTGTAGTATCAAAATATGTCCAAACAGATTCATAGTGTCTATATGGATAATGTTTAATTATTTCCACGTATACCAGATGATCTAGGTTCTCCTAATCGTCCTGCAGTTCAGATGATTTGTTTTACTAGATCAACAAAGCCTGGATAATATCTGTAGTATCGAAATATCGATTTGAAAATCTTAGAACATTTCGCATACACGGAAATAGGTTGCCATGATCCACATAGACACTGCAAATTTGTTTGGGCATATTTCGATACTACAGATATTGAATTAGTCTAGTAGAAAAATAATCTGATCTCCAGAATGATTTCCGAAACTATAACATCGTGTATACCTAGCAATAGGTCGGGTACAATCCACATAGACACTTTGAATCTGTTTGGACATATTTCGATACTACAGACATTATTGCAGCCTTGGTTGATATAGTAGAACAAATCAACTGAACTCCAGGACGATTTGTAGAACCTTAGAATATCCGGTATACATGACAATTACTAGCATATATACGATTCGTTTATGATTTGACAACGAAAAATGCTATGTTCATGTTGGAAAAAAAGGAAAATGTCTCACATTGGACAGACCTCAGGGAATTTCCGTGAAAATGGTTTGAACCGGTAAAAAATTGAGAGCCAAATGAACAACAAAATTAATGACAGCCAAATTGACCGGGACGGATACAAGGAATTCCACAATTTTTGTGACAGCACATCAGTCCCTTCGCGATTTTCACGACATCATTTAATGTTTCCGCGATTTTCGCGACTGAAAGTTCAAATCCGCGACAAATCCGCGAAAATCGCGAAATCCGCGAAATCCGCGCCTGTTGTAACAGCCCTGCAGTTCGTGCGCTGTATTAATGATAATTTTGTCCTTTTTGACAAGTAATATGACACCCATATTTTAGACACGATTAAAGTGCATACACTTTGATGTGATAAGTATATTGTCTTTCATTCCGATTTAATTCTCAGCTCTCTCGGTTTTCCCGGTTCACTGGCCACCCTGGAAAAGTGCGTGAGTAACAAACAGAATCGAGTAAACACATATAAACACATACAGACTTTCAACGTTCTACCCCCCCCCCCCATTTTAAGACTTAAGTAATATTTAACAAGTCTCCCCACTCTCTCTCTCCCCCCCCCTTTGAAAAATCTTGCTTCGAATATTACTTCCGTAAGATATTTCTGAGACCCCCTCGCATGTCATTTCTAACACCCTTTTACGCCCTAAGTGCTTATGTAATTCTTGATGATAATATATGAAACAATGCTTTTTAAACTGCAGTGCTCTGCTATTATTCCTGATCATGGCTATAGCTATATCTGTTCTAACAAATTGGACCGTTAATTCTGAGTTTACATAATGTCTCTTCTTTGGTCATAATTATACGACCTAAAGATATACTTTTTAGTCTAATTAACATGAACTATTTATTTCACCCCACTCGTCCTTATGTCAAATAACTATGTTTCAAATAAGATAGCCCCACTTCCCGGAATGTATGTAGCAAAGTAGTATTGATTTTTCATCACTGAAAAAAAAACACTAATTGGTACAAAGGAATCCGTTGAGCGGAAAAAAATAAACAAACGATGATTGATTGGTACATACCCGACAGACTGGACAGATTTAGTCCGGCAAGGACGTCCTTTTGGTCGGTCATTTTGATGGTTTATTTTCGCTTCCCGCAGTTCAACGTAAATTTTCGAAACGCTTTCCTCGCACTGCTAAAGCACATACACACACGCCTCTACTACCCGAACTCTTGGCTCACACTTTGCACCTTTTTTCTGCTCGTACGCTATTTGTGTGGTTCTATTTTTCACAATAAACAACTATTTTTCACAACTGCTCCTCACGATTCTCTACCTCACCCCCGCAACGCTACCAAACGATATGCTTTCTTCTTTTCTTTCTTCGCAGTTGCACTAAACTATATTTTGGCTTCGAATCAACTATTTTCATATTATTCTAATTTTCACTCGTATTTTCCTCACACTTGCACGTTTTCTTTTCAATCGAACCCGGCTAGCACTGGCTCAACTAATGATAGACCTGCTGGTTTGCTGAACAAAACTGGCCAGGCACTAATTCTGCATGCTCTGCCACTATGGATGTTGCTGTCGGAACAGAAATGGTCCGTTTGCACTCTATCACTGTAACAGCAACGACAACGGTTGTCCATGGTTGTTGTATCAGTCCCGGTCGTACTCTGCCAGCACCGATACCCAGCAGTGGCCGGTGCTTCATGGTGTCCAGCTCGGCAGAACCAAGCGACGCCAAACTGTTTTCATTCTAGCTGCTCCCCCTACGATTGGCTTTAGTAGCACCGGTACCACCACGAAGCAAGTATCCTGAAAAAAGAACAAGAAGAAGAAAATCGAATCAGAATTAGCATTTAATTTGAGTTTTTCGAGGAAGAGTATTTTTTGTTATTTTCACGTGTCAAAAAAATATGAAATCGCTCTAAATTGTTATCATTTGTTATGATTGCTCATGAACATATATGCTAGTCCAAAATATGACTGTAAGAATAATAATACCACTAAGTAAAACAATCTGGGCTATTCATCAGAATTCGCAACAGAGCACAATGGAAATGTCAGTCAACAGTGTGGGTGTACAGGCGCGAAGTTTTCACTCTATAGAGCTGACTTCCTATTCATGGGAAAAGCTTATCCATTCATTTCAAAGTTCATCCACCACCAACACCACAACTACCGAACTTGATGGAATATTCCTCACACAATCATTTAGAATTCATGGAAGAACGCCCACTCGGAAACAGGAAAACCCCAACAACAACAACAACAACAGGCAGCTCTACTGCTCAGCCAAGTGAAGTGAAGTGGATTTTGGGGTGAAAGGAGGGTTAAGGATAATGGATCATTTTGATGAATATTGAAGGTTTAGTGGACAACACAAAACTGCCTGGAGCAATGGAGTGGTCTGCTTTTCATTCGACATGTTTTGGGGTCAAAGATGAAAGTTGGCATGAATACATATGATGTGGTTGTTCTGCGATGAAAGTTTTGAAGAAGTGTTTGCAAGTTCGACAGACCCTCACAACATAAGAATTTCAATTTGACCGATTTTCAAATCTTTACTTAAATTGGATGCAATTCAAACAGGACGTTCACAACTTTTTGGAATTTCTACCAAGGATAAATTCACGCATCACTCTGCATTAAATGATTTCATTGTTCGGTAAATAAACTTCGCTCTTCTGCATCCCAAGATAACTTTTTAATTAAACAAAAACACATTTTCCTAAATGGAAATTCTCCTTCATCATCCAAACACTTTCTGCACAATCGATCCATTTCAATTGAAACTCTCGAACTGATGAAAATGGAATCGTGTTTCGGGGAAAAATCAATTAGATTAAATACAACTTCATCCCAGATTATCCCTCGGCTCATTCTGTATTGCTATATTTTTCTATCCTTCCAGCTGCACCATTTTCGGACGTCCCTCAAAGTAAACCAACAGCGTCATACGCAATTTTATGGCTCACCACCACCATTCTGCTACGATACGTGCCTCTGTCAGTGTCACATATCACATACCCCCTACCGATCTATTTCTGGACAACAACGGCGACATAGTCGAGATAAGCAAACTTGTGTGAACTACAAACAGACCTCGTAGTTTCGGATGTAGGTATGTACACTGGGTTGGAAAACTCTCAGAGCAATGCAGCAGCAGTAGCACTGTGATAAGGATCAAGGACAATGTGAAATATAGTGTGCAAAACATGTCTGCTGCATCTGCGTGATACATAAACACAATAAAGCAAGATCCCGTTCGCGGGCCAAAACTATACAGAAGCTTCTTAATTGCAAAACAAATATTCAGTGCACTGTGCAGCGACAGGACTGGAGAAGGACGAACAATTCCAAACATCTGCCGCACGATGTTGGGCATGGTGGTGCGCCGTTTTTTTTTTCTCCTCTAACCGTTATTGCTTCTGTGGTAGATTGTGGTAGAAAGATAGATGTTCTCACGGACAGAAGAGATCTTGCAAAAAGTTGGAACTTGGGGTTTCGTATGATTAACAATTGCGGAAATGTGACGGTAAGTAATACGAGTTGATGGAATTTGAAACTAGTGGTTCTACTTCTTCTGCTTTGGCAGCTAAGTGTATTTTGCTTAGTGTTCCGCAATGGATTATTGATAACTTACACAATCAATATTAATTTTACATTCGTATAGTGTGTGGTATCTAATCATAATGTTACTCTATACTTGGAACTTCCAGAAAATTTAAAAAACCGAAAAGTCAAAACTCGTCGTCTCCACCATGGTTACGTTTCATAGCCGTACTTTAACTGACTAGACTAAGAAGGAAAGTCCCAAACTCAAAGGTTATCGTTAACCATGAGCCAAATGTCACTCAGACGAATGGGTCATTGTGTTGCAAATGCTCATTACAGCTAAAATGCTACTTTTCGCATTTATGTAACCATGAGATATTATAATAATACTTTTTATATGTCAGATGCAAGCACAGGAGGTCAGAGGGTCACAATTAGCGGTTTTAGCTGTAATGAGCAATCGCGATGAGTGAATCCCCCCTATTCTGCGAGTCACGTGACTCTCTCTCACCGATGATTTACATGGAGAGTCACCTCACACGAGGTGACAATTGTCACCTCACCGGTGACAGAGAGTCACGTGACTCGCAGAATAAGGGGGAATGCTCATCGTTATAGCTAATCGTTAATTATGACACTCTGTTATGTGTCATTTATAAATTTCCCTTCTCTTCCTGCATCATGTTTCAGATGATTTAAAATAAATTTTGTTCTACTTTTGCGAGTTTATTGAGTAGTTTGTGAACTGTTCTCGCTATATGTGAAAAAATATGGTTTGTTTAAATTTTGGCTGTTCCGTCCCTTTCAAATGTTAGTCTAGATTTAAAGTTTTTTAGGCACATTTAAGGTCATTTTAGCGTATAGGATTGAATAAGTTGACAAATATTTATAAGAATTTGTGTGTGTGTGTTTTAATAACTATTTGATCGTTGCCTTTTACCTTGTTTTTTGGACAATGCTTTACATTTTACACTTTTTCAATAGTTTCTTGTCAACAACAGTCATAAGCCTTGCTTTCCATGCGTCGAAATATTTCTGATCTATTGGGGATAAAATTATTGAAATTGGTCCAGGGGCAGCTGAGTTATTAACGTTCAAAATCTTTCATAATTTCGTTACATGTTCCATTTTCGGTTTTCACAGAGTGTACCCCCATATAGAAATCACAGACGTAGTCCTACGCAAAACCTTGTGTCACTGCTTGTCAGAGAAGGTTTTATTATTGAGTTCATTAATTTTAGTAGTTCTAGGCCAAATAGAAAAAAGAAAGATATACTTGAAACTTTGCATAATTGTTTGTTGCGGGTAATCATTCATATGTGTGATGAAATTCAACCATTTTGCATTTTTTTTAATAAATCGTACCATGAAAATGTTGCTTCTAATCGAAATGACGTCTGAGACAAAGTGTCAGAGAAAAATTAAGTCTTTCTAGGTAATTTAAGTTTTTATCATGTTTCTGGAATTTTTACTTAAAAAGATTTAAAAAAAATCAGTAAACATTCCAAAAATTAAATATCTCAAAACGTCCTTGGTCAATATTTATATTTGTTTAAAGCTTCTGAAAATCAGTCATATATATTCAGTTTGAATTTTGGAAAATGATGTAACTTTAGGAGAAGTTTTAGCATACAAAAATTGTAAACAATATTAAAACTGTTATCTACGAACTAAATTTCAGTGAATACGTTTCTATAAATATTGATAATCGGTCGTAAAATTGCAGACATATGAGCAAAACCATTTAATTGTTTTCTTAGAGGGTGACCCCATACTTATGATCGAGAGTGTACATATCCAATTATATGAGATATTTATTGAGAGACTACAGTACCGTTCCAGCATTTCCATGTCAAATAGCAAAAAAAGGAAATTTTTAACTTGACCTTGTCCGATTTGCATGAAACTTTGCATAATTGATATGGGCAATCATTCACATGTTGGCAAAAATTCGTCAGTTTGGATCTTGTAATTTTGTTGAAAATGGCGTCTTTGAAATTTTTCAATAAATTATTGCACGAAAACGTCTTTTCTGATCGAAATTACTTCTGAAACAAAGTGGTTGAAAACAGTAAAGTCTTTCTGGAAAAAATATTTGGACAATTATTCACATATTTGCAAAAATTCGGCCATTTTTGATCTAGTTTTTTTTTTTCAAATAAAATTATTTCTCACTTAGTAAAGTTTTTCCGGTAAAATATACAAAATATTTTTTTTTTTTGTAATATTTAGTTGAAATTAAAAAAAAAGTGTTACAAACTTCAGCAACTCAAAAAGTACATCTTCAATTTTCATATTTAAAAAAAAAATGCTCATGAAAAATGCAAACTTTTGGGATATTTAAAACCATTGACAAAATTCAAAAACATCAAGTTTTGGTCATATTTTTAAGCTACAAGTGGGATTTAAATAAGATTGATTTGAGATTTTTTTACACAAATACATAATAAACTATTTTAAATTGACTTCAGTATACCCATCTATGATCCTAACTTCTGAATTCAAAAGTTTACAATACATTATATCCTTCTTCAAGTATTGTGTGGCCACCCTAAATTTTCATTTTGAAATTCCCGACTTTTTCCCTGTTCCAAGCTAAAAAAATCCTGGTTGTTAATATTTATTCAAAAATCTAAGAACTCCATAAAACATTGACTTTTCGTGTGAAGACATGTTCTTCTTCTAGAAAGTTTCAAATGCTCATGGAAAAATTGCAGCAGTTTAGAAAGACAAAAAAATGTTTTTTTTTTAGTTTTCTATGATTTGAGAATCATAGCAGAATAAGTGAAAGTTCTTCAAATGCAATATGCACTCAATTATTAATTATCAACTCTTAAGAATTACATTAGTGGTCTTCTCTCAATGACCTTTAAATTTTCCTTGAAAACACTTAAATTTTCCTTCACCATTTAGTTGGAACTCGTCACTAAACTCCTTTGGAACTCTCCTCAGAATTTGTTTGTCATAGAATTCATCTCAGTATTCCCTTGAAAATCTTCTCGAATTCCCATGGAATTCACTTCGAAGTTCCCATAAAATAATCCTCTGAATCGCATTGAAGATTTCAATTGAAAATTACCAAGAACTCTCTATTACCTTACTTTGAATGGCTCTACATTAAATTTTCCCGGATTTTCCCCGGTTTAAAGGGTGTCCCACATCAAATTGCATCACGGAAAAAATGCTGTAGAAAATTACCCATTGGCTTTTTTCTCTTGAAAATTTGAGTAGAAGTAGTTTAGAGTGTTTACACTGTA